AGACTCTCTTGCTGCTTTTGCTGGGGTTTATCTAACTGAAGTACCTGTCTGAAAAGTAGAAGAAACATATGTGCATAACACTCATAATTCACAAGAAAATTTGTCAACATCCAAAATGACCCATGGAGAAAACTATGTGAGGAATTTGTTGGCCACTTTGGCCGAGTCACCTCTCGTGGCCAATGTTTCATTGCAACTTTAATTGTAGTAAACGGTCAAAGGGTATATTACAAGGTGCAATTTGGTTTTGTGCGAACCTACAACGCACAAAACAGCACTCTAACACAGTATGTAGAGGTACCTCTAAACAAATTCCAGGGTTTCATGGAGCCTCCTTCAGATAACTGATGTTGAACATAAAATGTGTGCACCAAGGAGTGAGCAAACAGTGACTTCCAATTAGTCTCAAGCACCAGCAACATGTCGACAAGGAGTGCAATGTGTAGAATGTCGTCTAGAGGTGTGCAGCCAAGATGAAAAGGCGAGATATAACGATATCAGAATAAGATCACACCAAAAAGGTTCCGTTACAATCTAGGCACAATAATGAGTCAACCGACGTACAGCCGCGATTCACTTTGTGTTGAGGTGAAACATGGCCAACAAAATATAAAAAACGCGTTTTTTTTGTGTTTTTTTTTCTGTACATCATTTGCTTTGCGCCGTTGATAGAAGGACAGTTGGGCGGCGTCACAAAGTCACTCGCTAGCGCTTTTTCAAATTCGTTCATCGGCACTCATGGTATACCCGGGAGGAGAAAAGTACGAGCTCAGAGCCGAGCCGCCGAGCGTCGATTGCGACTTTCCTAAAGAGAAGCTCCGGTACACTTCGGCGACTCGTCAGCTTCAGACGCCTCGTCGAACGAGCCTGACGCGCCCGCGAATCCAATGCGCCGAACGGGCGCGGCAGAAAGCACGCCGGAAGGAAGGGGGCTGGAGGCTGAGTATCCGAAAGAGACGCGGCGCTGGTTTCTACGTCTATTTCGCACATGAGATAACAAACTGTCAAAGCTAGCCGAGTGTGAACAGTGACTGACATTACATTGGAGCACACGCAGTCGAAATGACGCCTGCAAGAGAGCACAGCTAGGTGCTTTCAACAGGGGACACAGGCGTTCAAAAAGGCCTCGATTTAAAAACTTCACGTCTCCTTTCTGTCCTTCGGTGTTTACTTTGATCCGCGTACGCCAAAGCACTCAATGCTGCAAGTAATAGAGTCGTGTATACGTACCTTTCGAAAACAATTGAAAGTGTGTAGGTTTCGCTCGATGCCTACGAGTACAGAGTGCGACGAACGCCAATCACGCCGGCTGGCCAGGCTGGCCGGGTCGCGCAACACACAGTCGTTGACACAGACACAGTGGTGACAGCGGCGCAACCGACGCCCGCCCGCTGCGCGCTGCGCACTGCGCATGCTCGTCTTGGCGGCTCGCCAACACGCCGGCGACGCCGGCATCGCGCCGGGCCAGCCGGGCTCGCTCCCTTCGAAGTTCGAACAGTTCCAAGTCCAAACTGTGGTCCAAATTGCTTGCGCGCGCGCGCGCGCGCGTGTTGGCGATGGAAATTGTTTTCTCGAGAAACGAGGCTGTAACGTATCGTTCGACGGTGCAAGTGCACGTATTTTTCAAGTCGTTTTTTGGACAGTGTGTGAATCTCGCGAAACAGGCGACGAAAAGTGGTGGGTGAAATGTGCTCGCATGTCGTCGTGGATTTTGTGTACCACGTAGGATTACCCAGAAAGGTGGGTCAATATCGATAAATGTGCGCGTAAGAAGCAACTACATGCACGTGACCTGTCAAACCTATTCACCCTCATTATTTTATCGTGCGAACCGACATTGTCACGTATCGCGTTCGATTTCGGTCCCAACACTGGTAACTAGTATATTGTGTCATGATGTATTTCTCACCGTCGGTAACTTCGTATTGATATCGTATTCGATGTGGTGGTCGTGTCCCAACACCGATAGTTTCTTGTTGTATTGCGATGGTGTGTTGCAACATCGAATTGTATCCCGGTACGTTGGGTTTATCGTTTGGCGATCAACTTTTGTTGCATTACAACTGCAATAAACATTTGTTGGAAAACGATCACTCCAATGAGCACGTCGTTATTGGGCTTTCTCATTAAAAGGTAGGTAGCGGCGGGTGTTCCGGCTAGTTATTCTGAATGGTTTGGTGGTTGTCTAGTTTCAAGCGCGCGAGGCTGTGTGTACTGTGTGCCGTACTAACAGCTGTACATACTTGCACTGTCGATCAATGTTAATGTGTTCGCAACGCAGAACGTTTATGTTATGTGTGTATCCACACCCAATATATGTTTCGCGTATTGCCGTGTGGATATGTCAACGTAATGCATGTTGGTAACTTGGTACCCGCGTTCTGAGATATATGCACGCGATATCATATTGTATTCTCCTTTGGTCCCATGATCGACGACCAATATTTGTATATCGTGTGGCCGTACAGTATGTCCATGTCGGTCACCAATATGCATGCGATGTCGTATTCTATTCCAAGAACCGTGTAGTATATCGGGGTATTGTGCTCCGACATCGTGTTGTATACCAATAACCGCAAGTTATATCGGGATATTGTGCTCCAATATCCTGTTGTATACCAATAGCCGCATACTATATCGGGATATTGTGCTCCGATATGAATTCCCATCGTGCGTATTGGGTTAATCGGATAACAATAAGTTTTTATTGGTTTCCATCATCTTCATTGGAATACAATATTTCCAATAAGCCGAGTTCATATTGGCCTTTTTCAATAGGGATGGCGGTATTATTCGATAACAACGTCGAAGAACAAATCAACAAGTCAGGAATCGCTAACATAAATCATGCCCTCCGTTATTGAAGCTATATCTGACCATGATTTACGTAGGTTCTTTTTCAGTGTGATACCTATTCTCCATTTATCGGTCCCTTCCGGTGGACGATAAGGCTGACTTTTCCGTTTGGAATATTTGCTCCAGGCGCATTCTTTTATTGGCTTGAGTTATCTGTTCTGATATTTTCATTTCCCGGATTATGTGTTATTTTAAAGCATGAAATAGTTTCTTACTGTATGTAGCCTTCGGTGTCAAAAAGGTTCATCGAATATACAAGTCTGAAAAGAACGTGTTTCGAAAAAGGCAGCTGCCACAGAATTGTCCAGCTGTAAAGTTGACTTCGCCTCTCGGTCCAGCTGCGTCGTGGAATGTTGTGACGGCACCGCTTTCGCGTCGTGCGTCAACGCTAGAGAGTCAAACTGAAAATAATAACGGTAAAGTTACAGTTACGGTTGCCATAACAAAGAGACAACAATGCCTCCACTGGCTCATTTCGCCCCCTAAAAGAGTCCGCCCATAGTCCGGACTGAAGGTTTCTATATTAAAGGAGCGATGCAACAATTTTTGTACTTTGCGCAAATACCTCTTAAAACGGATCCCTAACGTTAATGACCTATGAAACACGCGTTCATTTTTCACCCCACGCCATAGAAGTCCCAGAAAAAAATTAACGGAAAACGAGCAGGTTCGCCCCCTCAACTCGCAGCCAGAACAAGCGGCCACGTTATCTGGAGCCGATTATATGCCGCCAGTGTTGATCATACACTCTCAAGGAAACAGGGAGTCAAAAGGTGTATTCTTGCACCCTTTGTCCCATATAATACACCCCCAAACTTCACTTCGCATACAGCGCCCTACAGTCGAACAGACGGCCCAAAATTTTACGAGGGGCTTGATAGCCGTGTGGTACAACTTATTAAAATAGCTAATGTACGTTTTACTGAACACGAAAAGAATAAACCGGGCTTTCTTGGCCCTACTGTTAAAACTCGGTGTTTTCTTTATGTGGATTTTGATACGTACTTTAGCTATTTAAAATGTTGTACCGCACGGCTATCAAGCCCCTCGGGAATTTTCGGGCCCTCTGTTCGACTGTAGGTCACTGTATGTCAAATTGAATTTCGGGGGTGTATTATATGGGACAAAGGGTGTAAGAATACACCTTTTGACACCCTTTTTTCTTGAGAGTGTAGCCACGCGCTGGGGTTGGCAAAGCACAGGACACGCGCTGAGTTCCAGACATTGTTATGGCTCGGCTGTTGTCGTCGTTGCAGCGATTGGACACGGGTCACAACCCGAACGCTTCTGGAGGTAGCAATTGTCACGAGCCGAAGTGAAGTGCCCACGGAATGCACGGGTTTAATCTATGAACAGCATTCAAATATCGTCATATTGGTGTACTGCGATCCCCACGTTACGTCATCAAATTTTGCAAAGGAGAGATTGAATGAAAATGATCGCTTTGGTCCTTGAAATTACGCCGCAACAAAGGAGTTTCTTGGCCAGTGGCGTTGCGTGTGAGTATCCTTGAGTCCCAGGTGCGCCAGTAAGCTCGTGTCAAGTGAAAAACATTCCAAGTGAATATTGTTGCACAGCTCCTTTGACGGCGCAGAATTGCATGGAGAGAGACCGGTCGCGGTAAAGTTCGTCCATATTGCGGGATGTCCATATCAACGGGGTTCATATCAACGAGACATGCCTATAATTGGAAACTTTTACCAAACCGACTCAAAATATCGGTTACCGGTTAATTTCTAACGGTTACGGTGACGGTTCAAGCATGTTAAAATATCGGTCGCGGTCCGGTTGCGGTTCTCGAAAACATTTTTCTCCTATACGGCTTCGATTTAAGTAATGGTTACACTTTGAGTCCCTGGTTAACAATTAAGCCTCTTGTTTCAGGTGCGTCACCCGTAGAGCCGGGAGTACTTGCGTCGTAGGGTTGTTGAAACGACTTTAATGAAAACTATTTATGCTTTTGGCTTAACGTTTTGCAGGTGAAATGGCAGTGAATTTAATTCAACATTTCATACTTCAGATATTACTCACTGTCCGAATGAGTTTCCTTCTTTTTTATCTGAATAAAACTATTAATGATAACTTGAGTGCCCAAATTTGTTAACATAATATTAAGCTAATTTTCTCGCCTCACCTCGCCTGTTATGTACCATATGCAGCTGTACAGTGTGAGGGGACAAAGTAAGTTGTTTCACGTTCAGTGTCATAACAATAAATCACATACTCAGCTGCTCTTCCATGTCGTTAAAGGGGTCGTCCAACTACGACTAAAATGTGCGATTAATCTGTGTTTTTTTTATTGGCTATCTAATACACACACCAAATTACACAATTCCTGTAACTCTTGTAATGAAAAAATAAATTTTAAAAGCTTTTCCAATTACAAGCTCGTGGCCGGACAACCATAAAGATCCTCTAAATGCAAAAAGTAGCGACCACCATTGGAAAAGAGTAAAATACCAATAATGATACTTTGGGATCATTCAGTTGATGCCTTCCCATGCACAAGTACGCAACAGCAACGAAATAAAATGAAGATAATAGAGTGTCCGTGTTGAAGCATAAAAAGAGGCAGCTGTCATTACTACGCACACTTTCAGCTGTCCCTGGATGTACTGAAAGGAGATTCAACCGTAGACATCCCCCCATCCCCCCACCTAGCTGCTAAGTTGAAAGCTAAGTTCATGGGGACAACGAACGACAACATAAATAATGTGTTTCTTTTCTGACGCAGCGCTGGCCTATCACAGCCGATTGCTGCGTCAGCCTTTAGTCAACGCTCGTGTTATATCAGAAATGCACTACTTGAATACAAGTACAGTCGCCCAATTTTTTATAATATATCACGCGAGCGTCGACCGCCGGAACGGCGAGCGCTGTACCGCGCAGAAATGCGGCGTCACGGGAGAGGTTAGGCGTGTGCGCCAAAAGCCCTCTCCGGTGCGAGCGTCGTGTGCTAGGCTATCCCGTTGACCGCACATAGCCCCTGTTCCTTATCTGCTGGCATAGCTGACCGCCTTTACGCAAAGATCTAAAGAGCGCTTGCTCGCGTGATACCGTGGTGCTGCTCAGGCGTGAAAGAAACCGCGCGTCATCTCGGTTAATTTAGTTTTTTTATTTTTATTATTCTTTTATTTTTATTTGCGTTTACTTTTTCAGTACCAAAGGAAGAAAAATACGATGACGCGACAAGCTGAATGTGACGATGCATTAAACTATATACCGCAGCCAATGCTACGAGCCATCAAAACCAATCCAGCGCTGTCGACCTACCACGTGACATCGTGCTTCCACGTGCAGTTGTGCCCAACACTCTAAAAAAAAGGGAGGAGAAAGGGAGGAAAAAAACGATGTTCCTCCCTGTCGCCAACCGAAGGGAGGAAATTGCCCTTGTTCCTCCCTTTCACCGATCCACATGCAGCGTGACCTAGTGGCACTTGAAAAAGGGACAAAAATTTTTCCTCTCTATTCGTGGCGGCAGCGGCGGCAGCGCCGCTGCCACCGCAAACATGTTTAATGGCGGTGACAGCAACTTGAGTGCTTGGTAGCTCGGTTGCCGTCACCTCCGCGAGAAACGTATACTTTTGAAATGAAGCGTACGTACCATACAGCGAAAGGTAATCCGTGAGGCGCTTATTTCAGTTCGGTATAAAACAGAACAGCATATCCAGTTGATAGGAACGAGCACTGCGTTGCGGCGAGCGACTGCGTCCGACACACGCTGTAGTCCGTCCACATCGGGAACACAACCGGCTTGCGGGAACACGCGTTTTTCAAAAGCCATAGCCCGCACAAGAAACGACACTGAAATGACGATTCGGGGAACGGGACGGAGGCAACGGATCCGGAAAGCAAGGTCAACTATGCTTTCGGGAAAAGTCCACTTGGAAGAAAGGGTAGTACAGACATTCCATTCTGGTTGCGGGGCAAAGTGGGGTACACACTAAACATCGTAACACCCTTGTGGGTGTAAATGGCTTGTCCTATAACTAACACCCATTTGGGTGTAGCAAAACGCCCTAAACAAAGGGCGTTATTCCTAACGCCCCTTAAATAGGGTGTTTTTCCCTAACACCCTTAAAGGACGGCGTTATTCCGAACACCTTTCAATTAGGGTGGTTCCACTGTACACCTTTTTATTAGGGCGTTATGTCTGCGCAGTACGCCCTCTAAATTGTGTGTATCACCGCCAGAAAGGGAAATAAAAAAAAGGCGCGATTACCAACACCCATAAAGTTGCGCGTAATAACCCAAAAGAGTGCACGACAAAATGACTGCAAATGTCTGGTTCACTTTTTATTTTTAATCAAGGTTCTAACAGGTTCTACAAAATTCTCTATAGACGATTGCAAGCAGGTCATCTGGCCGCAGCCATGTCTCTGCTTATGCGGGCAAGTGCGTGCAATTACAAGCGTGCCAAAGGTCAAAGCTACGTTCACGCGCACGTCATCAAACTTGGCGAAGGCAAGACTGAAAGAAATAGTTCTCTTTTATCCTTGCAATTCCACCACGACCGAGACGCTTCTAAACCAGTGGCGGTCCGTGCGTGTAAGGTCATAAATATTTCAACCGGATATTGTTTCATAACCACCTTCAAATTCTACAACCGAAGGCCCTAGTTAAATCTCCAACTGTACTATCTTGTGACGTTTATGCTTCCTTGCACTGGTGACTTGGACAAAACTGACAGGCTTGCAAAGACGGTACGACCGGGAGTTGCTATAGACGTAAGCGGCAGTTCATCTTTGTAAACCGTAAAATGGTCTATTGAAACGGAAGCAGGGAGCCTATGTTCGACAAATGCTTCCTTACTCCTAAAAATAAACGGAAGTGGCGGAAGTGACGATATCGCGTTTAATTGGTTAGAGGTTCAATCGATGAAAGTTACCTATTTTCGCCCTTTGACCTTCCAAAAATCAAACGCGATATCGTCGCTTCCGTCACTTCCGTTTCTTTTTGGGAGAAATGAAGCATTTGTCGAACATAGCCCCCTTGGACTACAATCAGAAGCATGCTTGCAGAGTACTTACAAATAAAACAGCGATCTCATGTAATCCGTGATAGATGCATAATCCGATTCGGGCAGCACAGAACAATCCACAAACACAGTGTCGAAGATGAAGGCGGTCGCTCACATTCAGCGGAAGTTTCGCGGTCGCCGATGAGCACCTCTCTGTCGTGATAGATGCGTAATCCGATTCGGGCAGCACAAAACAACGCAAACACAGTGCCGAGGTTGAAGGCGGTCGGTCACATTCAACGGAAGTCTCGCGGCCACCGATGAGCAGCTCTTTGTCGAAACGCCTCCCACAAATACAGCACAATAATTCCATGGGCTCCGACGAAATAAACGACCACTTCCGAAAAGTTGGCATGGATGTATTCCGGCCGTTCACGACGAAAAATCACGGCCGCGACTCAAACGCACGAAAAACAGGAATACACTGACGGGCGCCCCCCTTTTTGTAAACCGGACCTACGTGGCCCCTACAACTCGCCATAACTTGGCATACTGCAAAGACTACGGCCCCAGTAGCCCATCAGCGTGTCAGAGCGAATCACGTGACAAATTTTCGTCCAAGCGTCCTTGTCCTACGGAGAGCGGTCACGTGTTTTGCGCCACCCCTCTGATTTGCTAGAAGTGGCCTTCGCACTCGCTCACAGCAACACGAAGACATAAAAGAAGGTTTCGAGGCTTATCAGAAGACGAGGTCAAAGGGGGTTGGACAAAGCCGCTAATCTCCCTCTGCTGCTTTGTATTGCCACCTGCCCTGCCCAGGGAAGGTCGCGAATTCGGACTCGGCAGGGCTTGCTTTGCGTAGTACAACCTTGAGCGTCTCAAACTGCCACTCCTGTAGACGCGCATGATCTGGTGCGGACCGCGAGATCCCAAGATAAATACGAAAAAACATTTTTAACGCCGCCGAAGACGCGGTTTCACGTGTACCAAAGAAAAACCGGAAAAAAAAGCGTCGGAAAGCCAGATATTTTGGTGTCATTACGCAGAGATAAGAGTCGCGTCCCTGGGGGTGCCATTAATCCGGCACTTTCGATTGTCTTGCGACATTGTTTCTTCAGAGCTACACTCAAAAATAAAGTATCAGTGAAGGTGCTATAAGGAGTGCGAAGCCCAGTCAGGTAAATTTGTAATATCCGAAATGAGGGCGCCACAGTTTGTTCAAGTCTTCAGCTGAAAAGGTCTTTCTCGGGTTAAAAGTAAGCAGATTCTATTTCGGTTAATCTTGCTTTGTATTGTTTTTTTAAAGTCGGATTTTAGACAGTCAAGAAATAGAAATACCTCGCCGGCATAGCCGATTCACGCAGGACACTCTTGACAGTCAACCAAAAACGGCGCCAAGTACAGTATGTCAGGACAGCGTCGGCGCGACCCATCCCATTTTTCAGATATTGGCTAGACCAAAATAATATCGACACAATCTTTCCGATTTAACTCCGTAACAGCGCAATAGTGTGTGCTGCCTAGGTTGTATATTTACACGTCTTCATTCATTTTTTTTTTTTTTTGCGACGGAGATGATTTTTTTTAGGTTGAACCGATAAAACTGATGCACGCGCGAAACGTAATTTTAGGCTCGTGTCGAACGAAGAGTTCAATAGGAGTTGCAAAAACTATTCTCTAGCACTTCCTAATCATACGCGACTCCGTGTGGCGATTAATTATACTTGATGTTTGTACCGCCGTACATCAACAACAGTTTCACCAAAGCAATCAATATTGCTTTGTATTTTAATAAAGCAATAAATATTGCTTGCATTGTAAACGGGTGATAGGACCACGTCAGGCAGAGATGATCTGCCTTTTGTCCTGTTACCCTTGACCTTGTGTCTAAATAAAAACCAATTCAATTCAATTCAATATGAGCGGCTATGAAATCATGGGTATATTTGACAGCATCACCATTACGCCTCTTTCACACCGTGTGGATGAAGGGCGTAAAACCCGCCCATACACCCTTTTTACACGATTTCAGCCACCATCGTTGCAAGTGGGGCGTAAAGGGTGTAAAACGTCAACACACCCTTTTTACACCCAATGGTATTCAGAAATCGTGTAAAAAGCGTGTAAAAAGGGTGTTTTTCCTAACGTACACCCGTCTTACACCCTTTTTACATGATTATGGGTGTTACAATGTTTAGTGTGTAGGAGGGCAGATCCGCAG